AACAGATGTTGACCCCTGGTTGATACAATGGATCTCCGAAGCTTTGTTTGAGAGGAAGGTGGCGCTGAGAAGTGGAGGTCAGACCCAGTAGTGATTGCCTCAGGACTGCCACAAGGATCAGTCTTATCACCGGCCCTGTTCAACATATATACATCCAAAATTGCCAGGATCGGTGTAAGTGGAGCAGGGAGAACCTTTGCAGATGTATGATGGTCTAAGGAACAAGGTCGTGATAGACTAGCGGTTGGACGGATGCTACAGGACAGGCTGAACAAGGTCGTGATAGACTAGCGGTTGGACGGATGCTACAGGACAGGCTGAACAAGGTCGCAGATTGATGTGAGGAATACAATGTGGTCATCAATCCAGACAAAGCACAGGTCATCTGGTGCTCACTCAACAACCGTATTGTGAAAGATTCTACCCCTCCAATTATGTTTGACCAATTTCTCATATACAGACAGCATGAGTTGAAGTACCTGGGAATCACTCCGGACTGGACACTTTCTTTCCGATAGCATATTATTGACAATGTTGCTGTCAGGGCTCAAAAGGGCATTCATGTAGTGAAAACCTTGGCTTCAGCGGGAATTCAACAGAGAGTTCTTTTTCTTCTAATGCAGCTGGTTGTTCTGTCAGTCAAAGACTATGGTCTGGGCATCCTTTCCCTGTCCAAGCCTCAGATAGACAGGTTGGAGAGAGTACAGAATGCAGCTATGAGGACAGTCTTGGGTTGCACAAAGGACACCCATGTTGTCTTTATGAGATACATTCTTGACCTGGCCAGCATCAGAGTGAGAAATAAGGTGACACAGGCAAAGCTGAACTTGAATGTTTTGGTAAACCCGAGGCACACTTTGTATGACAACCTAAGCAGCATCACAGGAAATATGATCAGACGGGGCAGCTCATGGTTTGCAGAAGCTGAAGACTTCTTGGGGAAAGTTTGTTGCATCGATGAAATAAGCAGTGGAAAGGAATGGTTTGAACTGAGACCCGATTGCAGAAGCCTGGTCAACGTTCACATCCCTATGGGTCGTGAAAGACGGGAATGTGCTGCTGTCATTAACGACAATGACATACGACTGTTAATTGAGGAACACTCTAAGCCAGAGTACCCAGTGATCTACACGGATGGATCTGTCAGGAGGGGTGAGAGAAGTTGGTGGGGTTTTGTTGTGTACAGTGGGAACAAGCAGGTTCACAGCATGCCAGGGGCCATAGAAAGAACACCTTCAAGCATGAAAATGGAGATCGAGGCCGTAACAAGAGCGCTTGGCTGGCTTCAAAATACAAGACCAAGAACTACCCATCTCATTATTGTCACAGACTCCATGAGCATCCTGTTGAGAAAGGGCTGCTTCGGAGTGCATGGAGGAACCCAATACAACACTCTTCACTTAGGCTCTAGAGCCATCTCGTGAATATTCTGTCCTGGGCACTCCGGGGTGAAGGGTAATGAAGTGTTAAATGCTCTGGAGGAAAAGTTGCGGGATGAGGAAGACAGGGAGACAGCAGAACACCACACAATAATCAGGATGCGGGAAAAATGGGGACAGAGAGGGGAGAAGGATGAAAGGAACGATTATCTGGAAAGGAAAGACGTCGTCATAATCAAACAGCCACTTGAACAATTTGTATGGATACCTTGCGAGCTTTGGTGATGGGAGGAAATGAGCACTTATGGACCAGTCCGGTGTGCAATGACGTCGTTGCCTTGCCCAGGACAGGTAATACGGGTAAAGCAGGTCTGAGATTGGGCTTGGGGGAGGGGGCTTGTGGTATTAAAAAGCGGGATTTTTGTAAGATTAGGCAGCGGCAGATGTGTACCTTTAAAGAGAAAGAAAGAAAGATATAAAAAAAAGAAGTTTTATACCATCTAGCTTAAGGCTATTGTCAAATAACCCTTTGTGTGTATTTGTCTTTCGAGTATGTATCTACATAACTCCAAAGGTCTTCGAATTAAACTCCTGCATGTGGTTGAATGATGCATCTGATGTGATATGTACTTTTTGTCAGCTTTACTTCTCTTTTCATATTGAATTTTCTTCTTCTATCCCGTTGTTGGGGCAACTGTGGGTGCACCACTGCATTTGAAAACCAGCTCTCGCCATCTATTTTTGTCCTCTGCTCTCCTCAGATTGTCCCCCATCGTCTTTCCTGTCCACTCTGTGATGTTGCCCTCCCGTCTCCGTCTCTGCCTTCCTCTCTTTCTCTTTCCTTGTACAGTTCCTTGCAGGATTGTTTTGGCAGGTCCTGTGGATCTTGTGACATGCCATACCATTTTAGTTTTCGTCTCTTCACTGTGGTCAGTAGATCTTCTTGCTGCCCCACTGCGTTGGTGATTCTCTTTCGTACCTCAGCATTTGAAAAGTGGTCTTTGTACGAGATGTCAAGGAGTCTGCGGTAACATCTCATCTCTGTGGTCTAAATCTTTTTCTCTAATTCCGCTGTCAGTGTCCACGGCTCGAAGGCGTATAAAAATATTGAGATGACCAGTGAGCGCATTAGTCTGATTTTTGAGTCTTGTGTGATGTTTCTGTCCCTCCAAATAGGCTTCAGTTTTGACAGCGCAGCGGTTGTTTGCGCGATTCTGGGGAAAATTTCTGGTCTTGAGCCTTCATCTGAGATGATTGATTCAAGGTATTTGAAGCTGTTGACGGTCTCAAGTTTCTCGTCCCTGACTTTGATGTCCGCGTTGATGCCATTGGTGCTATTGGTCAATAGCTAGGTTTTCTCGCACTGATCTCCATGCCGTAGGCTGCTGAACTCATTGAATTTTAATGAGAGTAATATATAACATCTCGTACAAAGACCACGTTTCAAATGCTGAAGTACGAAAGAGAATCACCGACGCAGTGGGACAATATGAAGATCTACTGACCACAGTGAAAAGACGAAAACTAAAATGGTATGGGCATGTCACAAAATCCACAGGACTTGCCAAAACAATCCTGCAAAGAACCGTACAAGGAAAGAGAAAGAGAGGAAGGCAGAGACGGAGACGGGAGGACAACATCACAGAGTGGACAGGAAAGACGATGGGGGACAATCTGAGGAGAGCAGAGGACAAAAATAAATGGCGAGAGCTGGTTTTCCAATGCAGTGGTGCCCCAACGGTTGCCCCAACCACGGGATAGAAGAAGAAGAATATATAATTTAAACTTCTATGTGTACCCGCATGTGATTTTACGGTCCTGTACCGCCAAGAAAAATTTCTCTCTGGGATAAAAAAGTATTATCTTATCTTATCTTATCTTATCTTATCTTATCTTATCTTATCGTATCTTATCTTATCTTATCTTATCTTATCTTATCTTATCTAATCTATCTTATTGGGGGGGGGGGGGTAGGGAGGGGGGGTGTCCTGCGCTATAGATTGTATAAGTACATATAAATTACAGGATAGCAGCAAACCTGATCATTTATCTTTTCTTCGTTCCTTCCTTCCATACTTCCTTCCTTCCATACTTCCTTCTTTCCTTCCTTCCTTCCTGCCTTACTTCCTTTCTTCCTTCCTTCTTTCCTTCCTTCCTTCTCCTCCTCCTCCGTCTCCTCCTCCTCCTCCTCCTTCCGATCCTCCTCCTGCTCCTCCTCCTCCTCCTCCTCCAACACCATGGCATCCATAACCAGACAGGATGCGTGACAACCTAATTACCTCGGAA